TATCATCTCGTGGAAGTTTAGGCTAGATGACCTCTAGGGTCCCTTCCAACTCTAATTTCTATTATATATTCCTTAGTGCTTCAGGCTAGATGACCTCTGGGGTCCCTTCTAACTTTTGGATTCTATCTATTGGATTCTGTCTATATCTATTTCTTAAGGAGTAGGACTGGATGGCCTTTAGGGTCCCTTCCAACTCTCTCATATATTTAGAATTCTATCAACAGTATCTATTTCATAGCAGTTTAGGCTAGATGACCTCAAGGGACCCTTCCAACCAGGACTGGACTGGATGACCTTTAGGGTCACTTCCATCTCTAGGATTCTATCTATCTAATCTCTTGGAATATTGGAAGTTTGGGCTGGATGACCACTAGGGTCCCTTCCAACTCTATGATTCAATATATCTTTCTTATATTTGGACTAGATGACCTCTAGGGTCCCTTCTAACTCTCTGAATCTATCTACCTATCTAGTTCTTAAGGGGTTGGACTGGATGGCCTTTAGGGTCCCTTCCAACTCTAGGATGCTGTCATCTATCTATCTATCTATCTATCTATCTATCTATCTATCCATCTACCAATCTATCTCCTAAGGGATTGGATGGTCTTTGGGGCTCCTTCCAACTCTAGGGATGCTATAATCTCTCTCTCTCTCTCTCTACCTACCTACCTACCTTCCTATCTATCTAGTTCTTAAGGGGTTGGACTGGATGGCCTTTAGGGCCCCTTCCAACTCTAGGATTCTATCTATCTATATCCCCTAGATTACCCCTAGGATCCCTTTGAACTCTCTGAATCTATCTACCTATCTAGTTCTTAAGGGGTTGGACTGGATGGCCTTTAGGGACCCTTTCAACTCTAGGATGCTATCATCCATCCATCTATCTATCTACCTACCTATCTATCTCTTAAGGGGTTGGACCAGATGGCCTTTAGGGTCCCTTCCAACTCTAGGATCCATCTAGCTATCCATCCATCAATCCATCTCTTTATCTGTCTGTCTATCTATCCATCCATCCATCTACCTATCTATCTCTTAAGGGGTTGGACTGGATGGTCTTTGGGCCCCTTCCAACTCTAGGATGCTATCATCTATCTATCTATCTATCTATCTATCTATCTATCTATCTATCATCTATCTCTACCCCTTAGATGACCTATAGGGTCCCTTCTAACTCTCTGAATTTATCTACCTATCTATCTATCTAGTTCTTAAGGGGTTGGACTGGATGGTCTTTGGGGCCCCTTCCAACTCTAGGATTCTATCATCCATCCATCTATCTATCCATCCATCCATCCATCAATCTATCCATCTACCTATCTATCTCTTAAGGGGTTGGACTGGATGGCCTTTAGGGTCCCTTCTAACTCTAGAATTCTATCATCCATCCATCTATCTATCTATCTATCTATCTATCTATCTATCTATCTATCTATCTATCTCTTAAGGGGTTGGACTGAATGGCCTTTAGGGCCTCTTCCAACTCTAGGATTCTATCATACATCTATCTATCCATCCATCCATCCATCCATCTACCTATCTATCTCTTAAGGGATTGGACTGGATGGTCTTTGGGGCCTCTTCCAACTCTAGGATGCTATCATCTATCTATCTTTCTATCTATCTATCTATCTATCTATCTATCTCTAATTATCTCTCTCTATCTATCATCTATCTATCTATCTATCTATCTATCTATCTCTATCCCCTAGATGACCTCTAGGGTCCCTTTGAACTCTCTGAATTTATCTCCCTATCTATCTAGTTCAACTCTAGGATGCTATCATCTATCTGTCTGTCTGTCTGTCTATCAATCTACCTATCTATCTCTTAAGGAGTTGGACAGGATGGCCTTTAGGGTCCCTTCCAACTCTATTTATTTATTTATTTATTTATTTGCTTTATTTTTATACCGCATTTTTCAGCCTAAATCGGCGACTCTAGGATTCTATCATCCATCCACCATCCATCCATCCATCTATATCTATCTATCTATCTATCTATCTATCTATCTATCCATCTACTATCTATCTATCTCTAAGGGGTTGGACTGGATGGCCTTTAGGGCCCCTTCCAACTCTAGGATGCTATCATCCATCTATCTATCTATCCATCCATCTACCTATCTATCTTTTAAGAGGTTGGACTGGATGATCTTTGGGGCTCCTTCCAACTCTAGGGATGCTATAATCCCTCCCTCCCTCCCTCTCTCTCTCTCTCTCTCCCTATCTAGTACTTAAGAGGTTGGACTTGATGGCCTTTAGGGCCCCTTCCAACTCTAGGATTCTCTCTCTCTCTCTCTCTCTCTATCTCTATCCCCTAGATGACGTCTAGGGTCCCTTTGAACTCTCTGATCTACTTATCTATCTAGTTCTTAAGGGGTTGGACTGGATGGCCTTTAGGGCCCCTTCCAACTCTAGGATGCTATCATCCATCCATCCATCCATCCATCCATCCATCTATCCATCCATCTACCTATCTATCTATCTATCTATCTATCTATCTATCTATCTATCTATCTATCTATCTCTTAAGGGGTTGGACTGGGTGACCTCTAGGGTCCATTCCAACTCTAGGATCTATCTATCTATCTATCTATCTATCTATATATCTATCTATCTATCTATCTATCTATCTATCTCTATCTATCTATCTATCTATCTATCTATCTATCTATCTATTTCTATCCCCTAGATGACCTCTATGGTCCCTTTGAACGCTCTGAATTTATCTCCCTATCTATCTAGTTCTTAAGGGGTTGGACTGGATGGCCTTTAGGGACCCTTTCAACTCTAGGATGCTATCATCTATCTATCTATCCATCCATCCATCCATCCATCCATCCATCCATCCATCCATCCATCCATCCATCTATCTATCTATCTATCTATCTATCTATCTATCCTTCTCTATCTATCCATCCATCCATCCATCCATCCATCCATCCACCCACCCACCCACCCATCCATCATCCATCCATCCATCCATCCATCCATCCATCCATCCATCCATCTATCCATCTACCTATCTATCTCTTAAGGTTGGACTGGATGGCCTTTAGGGTCTTCTATCTCTATCTATCTCCATCTCTCTCTCTCTCTCTCTCTCTCTCTCTCTCTCTCTCTCTCTCTCTCTCTCTCTCTATCTATCTATCTATCTATCTATCTATCTATCTCTATCCCCTAGATAACCACTAAGGTCCCTTTGAACTCTGAACTTATCTACCTATCTATCTAGTTCTTAAGGGGTTGGACTGGATGGCCATTGGGGTGCCTTCCAACTCTAGCATTCTATCATCCATCCATCCATCCAATTGATTGATCTCTCTCTCTCTCTCTCTCTCTCTCTCTCTCTCTCAAGGGGTTGGACTAGATGGCCTTTAGAGTCTCTTCCAACTCTAGGATTCATTCTCTCATCTATCTATCTATCTATCTATTCTATCATATTGGTCCTAACTTGGGGATTTGTGGAGAGAAGAAGCAAGATAACAATAACAACAACAACAACACATAATAGTAAATAATAATAATAATAATAATAATAATAATAATAATAATAATAGAAGCAGGAAGAAAAGACCCGTCACTCTTTTACCAAGCTGTGATTTATTTCTTCCATTTGCAAACATCTGAACCCGGCCTTTCCCTACCAAAGCCGGCACCGGAGGGGTGTCGGACTACATCTCCCATCGTCCCCTGCTTGATCTAGAAAGGTAAACAAAGAAGTAAAGAGGGAGATTCCAAAAGGCATGGCTTCCCAAAATGGCAGCCACTTCGTGGCCAACCAGTGGAGAAAAGCCAAGACGTAGTTCACTGGAGGCCTTGTCCACAAGGAAGTCAAAGGGGAGACGTAGTGCTCCGCCGCCACTGACAACAAGGCCACCGAAGGGAAGATGTCACGTGCCTTCTCATGGAAACCAGAAAGGAGGCCTATGTGTTGGTGCGAATGACCACATGGAAACCAAAGGGGAGACATAGCGCACCAAGGCCATTCAGCGCACAGGGGGAGATGTAGCGCACCACTGTACCATCGTTGATTGAATGGAAACCAGAGGGGAGGCATAGTTTGTTATGGGCGTTGAGTGCATGGAACTCAAATTGAAGGTGTCATGTGCCATGGCCCTTCACATGGAAACCAAAGGGGAAACATAGTGCGTTGGTGCCACATGGAAATCCAAAGAGAGAGGGAAACCAAAGGGGAGATGTAGTGCGTTGGGGTGTTGACTGCATGAAACTCAATGGGAAACCAAAGATGAGACATAGTGTGTCGCTGACCATACAGGCACCAAAGCAAAAATGGACACCAAAAGTGAGACATAGTGCGTTGCAGGTGTTGACCATGTGGAACCCAAAGGTCATGAGGGAAATCAGAGGGGAGACGTAGTGCGTTGGTGCTGCTGACCACATGGAAACCAACAGAGAGATCTAAACCAAAGGGGAGACGTAATGCGTTGCAAGCATTGACTGTATGGACCTCAAGGGGAAGATGGCCCTTCACATGGAAAATGAAGGAGAGACGTAGTGCACTGCTACCATTGACCACGTGGAACTCAAGGTCATGCACCATGGCCTTTCACATGGAAATCAGAGGGAGATGTAGTGTGTTGCGAGCATTGACTGCATGGAACTCAAGGGGAAGATGTGATATGTCATGGAAACCGAAGGAGAGACATAGTGCACTGCTGCCATTGACCACGTGGAACTCAAGATCATGTGCCATGGCCTTTCACGTAGAAATCAAAGGGAGATGTAGTGCGTTGCGGGCATTGACTGCATGGAACTCAAGGGGAAGATGTGATATTTCATGGAAACTGAAGGAGAGACATAGTGCGCTGCTGCCACTGACCACGTGGAACTCAAAGGTCATGTGTCACGTAACCCAGAGGGAGATGTAGTGCGTTGGTGATGCTGACCACAAAGAACTCAAAGGTCATGCGCCATGGCCTTTCATATCTAAACCAGAGGGAGTTGTAGTACATTGTGGGCATTGATTGCATGGAACTCAAGGGGAAGATGTGATATGTCATGGAAACCGAAGGAGAGACATAGTGCGCTGCTGCCATTGACCACATGGAACTCAAAGGTCATGTGTCACATAACCCAGAGGGAGACGTAGTGCATTGGTGATTCTGACCACAAAGTACTCAAAGGTCATGCGCCATGGCCTTTCATAGCTAAACCAGAGGGAGTTGTAGTACGTTGTGGGCATTGACTGCATGGAACTCAAAGGGAAGATATAATATGTCATGGAAACCAAAGGAGAGACGTAGTGCACTGCTGCTGTTGACCACGTGGAACTCAAAAGTCACATGTCATGGAAACCAGAGAGGAGACATCGTGCGTTGGTGCTCGTAACCACACGTAACCCAGAAGGGAGACGTAGTGCACTGCAAGCATTGATTGCATGGAAGTGAAAGGGAAAATGTGGTGCGCCACGGCCCTTGGCACGAGGGGAGCCGTGGTGCACCTTCACCACATGGCGATGAGCATCTGGCAGGTGTTGGAGGACATCCAGAGGGCCTCGACCAGGCGGAACTGGAGGAAGCCGCAGGCAAATCCGGCCAGGACGTCAGTGACGTGGTGGCGGCCCACGACCACGCGGGAGAGGCCCACCAGGCCGGCCCAGATCACCAGCAGCACGCGTAGCGGGACGGCCAGCACCAGGTGGTTGAGCAGGAACTTGGCCACCATGGCCGCCCGGCTGGCCTGCCCCGCAGGGAAGGCGTACAGGTCCAGCGTCAGGTAGTCCAGGGCCCCTGGGGCCACGTCAAAGGGGCCCCGCCGCTTGGCCAGCTTCTGCACCCAGGCCACCAGCACAATGTCCAGGAGCAGCGCTGCAAAGGCACAGAGAGGGAGAGCGCACATGAGTCAGGGTCATCCCATCGGGACGTGGTTCTTGTCCCTGGGTCATCAGTGTTGCACTCATCTATTATGTTTTATTACTGTTATTATGGCTATTATTATAATTATTATTTTATTATTATAAATACTGCAAATAAATAAATAAATATTTTATGGATGATGATGATTATTATTTAGTATGATTATTATAATTATGACTAGTATTATTTAGTTTGATTATTATTGTTGTGACTATTACTACTACTTAGTTTGATTATTATTTATTTATTTATTTTTTTTGCTTTATTTTTATACCGCATTTTTCAGCCTAAGTCGGCGACTCAATGCGGTTTACAATGCAATTTATATAACAATAACAATTAGATTAAAACACAACATACACGACAGACAATACGAGACAAAACAACGTGGTCATCAACGCCTCAGTAAAATCAGATTCCGTTCTCATAATCCTTCTACCATTCCTTTGTTCATTTATACCGTCTTCATGAGTTCAGTTGCCTTGTTGACCGAACGCCTGTTCATAGAGCCACGTCTTGACCCTCCTCCGGAACTCCAGCAACGAAGGGGCCTGCCTGATGTCTACGGGTAGGGCATTCCATAGCCGAGGGGCCACCACCGAGAAGGCCCTGTCTCTCGTCCCCGCCAGCCGCGCCTGCGACGCAGGCGGGATCGAGAGCAGGGCCTCCCCGGACGATCTTAACGTCCTCGTCGGTTCATAGGTGGAGATGCGTTCGGAGAGGTAAGCAGGGCCAGAACCGTTTAGGGCTTTATAGGCTAAAGCCAGCACCTTGAATTGTGCCCGGTAGCAGATTGGTAGCCAGTGGAGCTGGCTCAACAGAGGAGTGGTGTGCTCCCTGAGTGCCGCTCCCGTTAGTAACCTGGCCGCCGAACGCTGGACCATCTGAAGCTTCCGGGCAGTCTTCAAGGGCAACCCCACGTAGAGCGCGTTGCAGTAATCAATCCGGGATGTAACCAGAGCGTGGACTACCGTGGCCAAGTCAGACTTCCCAAGGTACGGGCGCAACTGGCGCACAAGTTTGAGTTGTGCAAATGCTCCCCTGGACACCGCCGAAACTTGGGGTTCCAAGCTTAGCGAAGAGTCCAGGATCACACCCAAGCTGCGAACCTGCGTCTTCAGGGGGAGTGTAACCCCGTCCAACACAGGCTGTAACCCTATACCCTGTTCGGCCTTACGACTGACCAGGAGTGCCTCTGTCTTATCTGGATTCAATTTCAATTTATTAATTTGATTATTGTTACTATTAATATTTAATTTGATTATTATTTTATTATGATTATTGTTACTATTATTATATAGTATGATGATGATTATTGTGACTATTATTAATTTGATTATTATTTTGTTATGATTATTGTGACTATTATTATTATTTAATTTGATTATTATTTTGTTATGATTATTGTGACTATTATTATTATTTAGTATGATTACTATTATTGTGACTATTATTCTTATTTAGTTTGATTATTATTATTGTGACTATTATTCTTATTTAGTATGATTATTATTATTGTGACTATTAATATTATTTAGTATGATTACTATTATTGTGACTATTAATATTATTTAGTATGATTACTATTATTGTGACTATTAATATTATTTAGTATGATTATTATTATTGTGACTATTATTCTTATTTAGTTTGATTATTATTATTGTGACTATTATTCTTATTTAGTATGATTATTATTGTGACTATTAATATTATTTAGTATGGTTACTATTATTGTGACTATTATTATTATTTAGTTTGATTATTATTTTGTTAGTATTATTGTGAAAATTACTATTGTTTAGTTCGATTATTATTATTATTTTATTATTATTATTGTGACTATTACTATTATTTAGTATGATTATTTTTTATTATTGCGACTATTATTTATTTATTATTTAGTATGATTGTTATTTTATTATTATTGCGACTATTATTTATTTATTATTTAGTATGATTATTATTTTATTATTATTGCGACTATTATTTATTTATTCATTTCTTTATTATTTAGTATAATTATTATTTTATCTTTACTGCGACTATTATTTATTTGCAGTAAATGACCATCTCTCAACACTGATGGTGTCTACGGCAGAATGGGGTTAGACTGGATGGCCTTTATGGGCCCCTTCCAACTCTAGGATTTTATATCTATATCTATATCTATATCTACATTCATATCTATGACCATGATTATGATTTAGTATGATTATTATTTTATTATTATTATGGTAATATCTATGACCATGATTATGATTTAGTATGATTATTATTTTTTATTATTGCACCTATTATTATTTATTTCTTATTTAGTATGCTTATTATCTTGTTATTATTGCAACTATTATTTATTTATTTATTTATTATTTAGTAGGATAATTATTTTATTATTATTGTGGTCATATCTGTGACAATGATTATGATTTAGTATGATAATTATTTTATCATTATTGCACCTATTATTATTATTTATTTCTTACTTAGTATGCTTATTATTTTGTTATTATTGTAACTATTATTTATTTATTCCTTTATTATTATTTAGTAGGATAATTATTTCATTATTATTGTGGTCAGATCTATGGCCATGATTATGATTTAGTATGCTTATTATTTTGTTACTATTGCACCTATTATTATTTATTTCTTATTTAGTATGCTTATTATTTTGTTATTATTGCAACAATTATTTATTTATTCATTTATTATTATTTAGTAGGATAATTATTTTATTATTGTTGTGGTCATATCTATGACCATGATTATGATTTAGTATGATTATTATTTTATTATTATTGCACCTATTATTTATTTATTTCTTACTTAGTATGCTTATTATTTTGTTATTAATGCAACTATTATTTATTTATTCATTTATTATTATTTAGTAGGACATTTATTTTATTATTATTGCACCTATTATTTGTTTATTTGTTATTTAGTATAATAATTATTATTTATTGTGACTTATTATAATAGCGATTCTACGTTTCGACCTCAGAAAGGCACATGCAACGCGGTTCATGCCAATGGGATACACAATGACATAATGGGACATACAATATCATAATGGAACATACCATACAATGCCATAATGAGACATATAATGCCGTAATGGGACGTACCATAATGGGACATACAATATCTTACTGGGACAAACCATAATGGGACATACAATGCCATAATGGGACGTACAAAACCCTACATGACCCTTTGGGAGTCCGTTCAATCCCATGGTCTGCCCTCTATGCCCATATATTATCTATATTATCTATACATTCAACCATTGGTGCTCCAAGTCCCATTATCCACAGCGCAGGAATGACATTATGATGCTTGCTCGGCCCTCCTGACCTGCATTTCGATAGATCCAACCCCCAAAGATGTCAACATTGCCAAGGGACGAGGCCTTTGCGCATGATGGGACTTTGTCGCATGCGGTTTGCAACTCTGGCCTGGAATAGATCATCGCATGCGACAGGCGCGAGCCAGAAAATGCATGCAAGGAAATGGGGACGGAGAAGCCCTGGGCGGCCTCAGGCCAGAGAGAGAGGCCTTCTCTTTGCATCTCTCGCCCTCTCTTGCTCTCATCCATCAGAAAAGGCACCCTTTGCAGGAGAAGGGACACCCAAAGGCCACCCAGTCTGACCCCCATCAGGAAACAGGCCTGGAGCAAGCAGCATTACTTGGGCAGAACCATCAGAGAGGGATGTAAACACTAGAAAGGGACCCTTTGCAGAAGAAGGGGCACCCAAAGGACATCCAGTCTGACCCCCATCTGGAAATAGTCCTGGAGCAAGCAGCATTACTTGGGGAGATCCATTAGAGATGGATAGATCCATTACAAAGGGCTATATCTATTAGAAATTGAGACAAGAAGGGGCGCCTAAAGGCTATCAGATCTGGACCAAGCAGCATTACTTGGACAGAACTATTAGAGAGGGATGTAAACATTAGAAAGGGACCCATTGTAGAAGGAGGGGAACCCAAAGACCATCCAGTCTGACCCCCATCTGGAAACAGGCCTGTTGCAAGCAGCATTACTTGGACAGAGAGGGGTGTAAACATTAGAAAAGGGACCTATTGCAGAAGGAGGGGCACCCAAAGGCCATCCAGTCTGAACCCCATCTGGAAACAGGCCTGGAGGAAACAGCATTACTTGGGCAGAACCATTAGAGAGGGATGTAAACATTAGAAAGGGACCCATTGCAGAAGAAGGGGTACCCAAAGGCCATCCAGTCTGACCCCCATCTGGAAACAGGCCAGGAGCAAGCAGCATTACTTGGGCAGAACCGTTACAGAGGGGTGTAAACATTAGAAAGGGACCCATTGCAGGAGAAGGGGCACCCAAAGGGCATCCATCCTGACCCCCATCTGGAAACAGGCCTGGAGCAAGTGGCATTACTTGGGCAGAACTGTTAGAGAGGGATGTAAACATTAGAAAGGGACCCATTGCAGAAGAAGTGGCACCCAAAGGCCATCCAGCTTGACCCCCATCTGGAAACAGGGCTGGAGCAAGCAGAATTGCTTGGATGGACCCACTAGAGAAAGATAGATCAAATACAAAGGGCTTTATCTATTAGAAATTGAGACTTTATGCAAGAAGAGGGGCCCTAAAGGCCATCCAGTCTGACCCCCATCTGGAAACAGGGCTGGAGCAAGCAGAATTACTTGGATAGCGACATTAGAAAGGGATCAGGCCATTCGAGAGGGATGTAAACATTAGAAGGGGCACCCAAAGGCCATTCGGTCTGACCCTCATCTGGGAACAGAGCTGGAGCAAGTAGAATTACTTAGATCCATTAGAGAGGGATGTAAACATTAGAAAGGGACCCTTTGCAGAAGAAGGGGCACTCAAAGGCCATCTAGACTGACCCCATCTGGAAACAGAGCTGGAGCATGCAGAATTACTTAGAGAGATCCATTAGAAAGGGGGTAGATTCATT